TGTCAATAAATAGATGTGCACATCACCATTTTGAGTGACTAGCCAGCTGTACCAGAGTGTGTTCAGTGAATTCTCGATTGTTGGACATTTGAATGATCCCATGAAAGAGGCTTTAAGCAACATCCTTGTGTTTCCAGCAGCTTGTAAATGACAGGTTTCCAGGTGTGCCTGGAGCACATTGTATCCTCTTTGATCCAAATTGCCATGCCCTGGCAATTTGGATTAAAGAGGTTTATTAGGGTATGGGCTCCGGGTTAGCAGGATCTCGGGAGGGAGAGTTTCTCCAAGGTCAGCAAGACCTCAGATGTCAGAGCATCAGATTTCACATTGCTTTGACCTCACCCCTGCTGCTCCTTCCCCCCGTCCCCGTCTTGTCTACCAATAGTGACCCCTTGAGAAGTCGAACCATGTCTTGAATTGGTCTTTGTATCCATTATATGTGGCCAGGTGCCAGGCATTTTGGTAAATGTTCGCAGAATGGATGGGTACCTGGATGGATGGATGATTCGAGCCAGGGGCTTTGGAGAGATGGAATTCATTTTTACATTCTGTCCAAAAATCCCTGCTTTGGAAAGTAGTGATTTCCCTGACACTAGAGGTGTGTGACAGGAGGCTGGGCCAATTGGCAAGACATTGTGAAGCAAATTCAGGCATCAGAAAGGGGAGTGGATGAAATATAAGATCACTTCCAAACGTGAGAGCCTGGAACGCTAGGAAACACAAGCCCTGGGAGCTGAGATGCATGCTAAGTCACCCAGATGAGCAGTTGTGGGGCTGTGAGTGGCTCTAAAATTTTCAAGCTTTTTCTTAGGACCTCAGACTAAAGTTTCCCTTTGCCTAAAAGCATCTTCCTGCTAGCGCGGCCTTTGGGGGCCGTCACAGCGCACAGAGATTAGAGTCCTGCAACAAGTAGTTGGGCGAGTTTATAGCTCTCTGTAACCTGAGAGTACAGACCAGACTGCTTTGATGAAATAGGGTAAACTGTGGGTGGGAGTTGCCCAGTGAGACCTGGGGAAAGGCAGGTGTTTCTGATTATATCTCACGATGGGGGTAATATTAGGCAATTGGCAGCGCAGGGCGGTAGCTGGGGGCGGGGCTGGGCTCCGAGACTGGACCACGCAGTCCCTCTGAGTTGCACATAGACCTCGCAGGCCCAGAGAGCTGAAACTCTTCCAGGATGTGGCTCCGTGCTCTTGTCCTGGCCACTCTCTCCGGTTCCATGGCTTGGGGTGAGTCCTTCTGAAATACAAACATGCGGGGCACATTGGAAATCCTTGTTCTGGGCCGCGGTGGGCGCAGATGCGTAGAAAGGCAAAGGCACAGCAGGTCCAGCTCCGCGCGCCCTACGGACTGGAACTTGGAGCAGCTGAGCCCGGGCAGCCCCGGCCGCGCGGAGACGCAGGGAGGATGGACACCCTGAGACCGCCCTGCACTGGTCGCCCCCACGCAGGCCGGCAGCCGGCACACACGAGGAATTTAGGCAGCTCAGTTTACTGTCCCCTAAAGAGTCCGGTCATGGCCGGATCACGGACCGCGGCTTAGTAGAATATTAAGAGCATCGAGAGCCTGAGCCAGAGTGCATGGGTTTGAGTCCCGGCTGGGCGCTTCCTCGCTGTGTGTCCTTAGGCAAGGGACTGAGTGTTTCCGTGCTTGGGTTGCCCCTCTCTGAAATAGAGGTGGCAGTGCTACCTACCTCACTGGACTCTGGTGAGGAGGAATGGGTCGTTGTTTCTAAAGCGCTCTGGACAGCTCCTGGTGTGGAGAAAGCACAGAAAAGGGAGTGGACAAATAAAGGCGTTGTTAAAAAAAAAGTAGTGTATGAATAGAAAATATGAGCTGTGGTCAGGCCGCTATATCAGGACCTCTTGCCATTAAAAAGACAGTTTCTTACGAATGTTTCCAACAGAAGGGGACACCAGTGAGGTGGGGGATGGGGCACAAGGGAAAGCAGCAGAGCAGGGGGAGGGGGCGGGGGCAGATCTGAGCCCAAGAGGCTTTTACTGTGGCTTCCATTAGAAAGAAGAGGCAAGGCTGGCAGGCAGGCTGAGGATTGGTGAGTTGGGATAACTCAGGGGGCTCTGGGGCACAGGGGCTGTCCCTAGTTGTCTGGTACCTGGCCCTGGCGTGATTAGGGCAGGTGGGTAGTGGCCAGGGCGCGGCAACTGGATCAAAGAGGTGGTTGGGGTGTGGGTTCTGGGTTGGCGGGACCCTGGGAAGGAGAGTTTCTCCAAGGTCAGCAAGGCCTCAGATGTCCGAATACAGAAAGCAAAACACATGGTACATTCAGGGGTGCAGGGAGGGGCCTCTTAATACCCCCAGGGCCATTTTATAGACGGAGAAACTGAGACTCACACAGGGAAATGTACTTGCCCAAGGTCAACTGGGAAATCATGCCTGGGCCTGTCTTTGGGTCGCAATCCTGACAGCCCAGGCCCGGCCTGCACCCTGTCCTCCTTCTGGCAGCCTGACACTGGGAGAGCCCTGAACTGTGTGTAACAGCAGAGGAAGAGAGGAACCCTATTTGGAGCTGAATATTCCTTTACCTCTGGTTACTCCTGGCCATGCCATCCATTTCCTTCCTTAGGAAGTCCATACCGGCTGCTTCCACTTCCTCAATTTCCTCCTCTGTAAAATGGGAATATTGATGCCTACCCAGCAAGGCTTTTTTTGAAGATGCATTTAAACAAACTGGAATGCATGCCTGGCACGGAGTAGGTGCCCACACGGTTTGTGTTTCAATATCACATCAGCGGCAACTGCTCTTGTTCCCACTCTTGTTTCTGCCTCCCCTCATTCACCCACTTTTTCACCCTTGGCAATCTGGCTGCCATCTACATCACCTTGTTGAAGGGAATCCTGAGCTGAGAAAGGCCAGCCCAGTGGTTTCCGCTCAGCCTTGTCCCTTCTCCTCTCTGAAGCCCTCAGCACTCATAGCCGGCGCCTCGCCCTCTTCCTCCCTGGGCTTCCAGGACACCGGGAGGTTCTCTCCCCCAAAACTCTAATGGCTCTTCTGCCTCAGTTGTAGTGGTCCCTCTGTTTGAACTTTTGTTTTTTCCCTTTCCTCTCACACTGGCATCTTCAATGAAGCTACACACATTCATGGTGTGCACCCTCACCATCTAGGAGAAGATTCTCCCCTGCTCCCTTGCCAGGCTTCCTTCCAGTATTGAAGTGTGCTCGTCCTATAGTGCCATCTTGCCAGGATATTCCACTGACATCTCCACCAAGCCTGTGAAAACAGGGACCCAGCATCACAAGGAAGCTCTTTGGTCTTCATTACCTTCCATGTTCCCCTAAACTGGTCAGGGACCAATTCTTTCTTTTCTTTTCTATTTTTCTTTTTTTTTTTTTTTTAGATGGAGTCTCACTCTTTCACCCAGGCTGGAATGCAGTGATGCTATCTCGGCTCACTGCAACCTCTGCCTCCTAGATTGAAGCTATTCTCCTGCCTTAGCCTCCTGAGTAGCCAAGATTACAGGCACATGCCACCACATCCAACTATTTTCATAGTTTTAGTAGAGACGAGGTTTTGCCATGTTGGCCAGGCTGGTCTCACACTCCTGACCTCAAGTGATCTGCCCTCCTTAACTTCCTGAAGTGCTGACATTACACCACTTACCTAATGGGTCCTGGTAATTGCTATGTTGTTATGTTGTTAAACATCTTTCTAAGGGACTTCATCTTAGCGTCATTTGTAATTAGCAACAACAATAAAAAAAAAAAACAAGCTGAATATTCCTCAGTATGGGGTTGGCTGTTAATGAAACATGGATGCTGTTGTGTAACTGGGCTTTGCATTCTAATTGGATATTCCCCTGTAAAATCAAACCTGAATTGCTCTGTTCTGTTCTGGCTCCACTTTGATGGAGGTCTTGACGTCTTGTCTGTATCCAAAGTAGAGCAACTGTTAGGACAAGAGGCTGGAAATCATTTCCTAGGAGGGAAGCTTAGAAAAATTGAGTTCTCTGGAGCCAGATAGGACCTGAGGGGTGGGCAGCACAATCAAGTGTCTGAAAGGCCACAGGCCAAAGATCAGATCAGGCCACCACAGTCCCATGGCAGGTAGAACCAGGACTGATGCATAGGCTTTTAGAAATGAATTTCAGCTCAATGAGGAAGCATTGTCTGCGCTGCAAGAATGGATCAGACCTGCCCAGGGTCACCAGAAGAATCTTCCTCGACCTAATCATTTTCTTTATCCAGAACAGTTCCTGCTGTTTATTTGTCCACTAAACAAAAGTCAAGCACTTCACCTGGCATTCTAGGCCCTCTCTGACATGCACTCTCTCATTCTAGGATTATTTACCACTCCCCGAAGAGTCCACCTGTTGCACTTGGGCCACGCCCCCTCCTCCAGGCAAGCTCTGCATTCTGCTGCCTCTGAGCCTCAGCACATTCCCTTCCTTCTCTCTGCTCTGTACCACTCCCTGCTTCTCATCTCCCCTTATTCAATCCTTCCCTACTGCAAGTTCCAGCTTCTCCATGATGCTTTCAATCAGAAGGCCTTACCCCTCTTCTAGTTCCTGGACTGCCTTACGGATACCTCTTCCAGGACACAGCCACTTCCTTCCAGCTGCAGGGTCAGGTGTATCTGTGACCCTTCCCTGTTAGAGTCAGTGCTTCTGAGAGTACAGGGCAACTCTTGTTCATCCTCTCAGCCAGCTCGCGGCTCAGTGCCAGGATTCTAAGGGATAAATGTTTCCAGAAGCTTCTAAGGTGGAAGCTAAATGTCTTATTCTTTCCTAGTAGCTCTCCTTCTTGCATTGATTTTTGGCTGGATGTTTTCATGCCTCCAATTCTAATTTGCTCCTTAAACCAGCTCAATGAGTTAGGAAGGACAGTGATCCTCATCCCTATTTTACATCAGGAGAAACTGAGGCCTAGAGGGTTTAGGTGACTTATTCAAGGTCACACACCTAGAAAGTGGCAGACCCCACCTGGAACCTTGTCCAGCCTTTCACCTCTGATGCATTCTGATTTCTTCTCCATATCCAGCAGGGCACCAGTCCTCGCCACCTGTGGTGGACACCATGCATGGTAAAGTCCTGGGGAAGTTCATCAGCTTGCAAGGATTTGCACAGCCTGTGGCCGTTTTCCTGGGAATCCCTTTTGCCAAGCCTCCTCTTGGACCCCTGAGGTTTACTCCACCACAACCTGCAGAGCCGTGGAGCTTCGTGAAGAATGCCACCTCTTACCCTCCTATGTAAGCCAGGGGTGGATTTGGCACATTTCAGCGGGATGTTTGCATCAACGTGATACAGGAAGGAGTCAAGGCAGTCCCCCTGATGGGCTGATACTTTGCTCTGGAATCCTGAGATCATTGTAGATCCTTAAGAACATTCCAGAACTCTCACAGCTTTCTAGAGTCCATTATTTAACACATGTTTATTGAGCACCTACTGTGTGCTGGGCATGTTCTGGATTCTTGGGATCTATTAGGGAACAAAGCAAAGACCCCTAGGTTCATGGAGTGTGCATTCTAGCAGGGGGAGACAGGTAAGAAACAACACGCAAATTACTCCATGGATGATGTGATATTTTAGAACAGGACAAGTGCCTTGGAAACAAGGAAGCAGTTGAGCAGGTGAGGGAGATCAGAAGTAAGGATCCCATGAATTTCCCTGTCTTGAACTTTGGCATAGCTGGGGAGAGGGATGAGTCAGGAGGTGTGTGGGTGGGAAGTGTACTGAGGTGTCCACTCAGCAAGTGCTCAACTCTCAGGTGTGCCCAGCTCCCTGTTCCTGAGGAGAACAATGGCAGGTGTGTGCAGTCACCCTGGCCAAGCTGGGAAGAAAAACCCAAAGGTTCTGATTGGCCTCGCCACCACTCCGCAGTGTACCAAGGACCCCTATAGGCATCAAACCAGACCCCATTCATCTCTGCAGCCAGGTACTTGGGGGGTTTCCAGCAGCCCACCTCTGGCTCGCCTTTTTTTTCAAATAATGTTTACTGTTTTTATTTTTTGACTGCAAATGTAATATATACTTATTACAGAATATTTAGGAAATACAGAGAAGGAAAAGTAAGAAAATTGAAATCACATAAAATATCCCACCACCCACAGAAAATAGCTTGATAGATTCATAGTGGATATTTTAGGTCATAAAGTATTATCATCTAATATTTTGTTTGTATTCCAGGTTTTTTTTGTTTTGTTTTTTTTGTTGTTTTTTTTTTTGCCTATTGCTATCTTTTCTTCCTTTAAAACAGGAAGCTACATTCAGATAATTTGGATGCCTGCTTTGCTCATTTATAAGTATGTCATGAGCATCATTTTATACCATTTAATAGCACAGCATATATCAGCACCTGCATTACATTTGGTATTGAACCATAATTAGTTTCCCCAAGGTTTTATTTGGGGTCATTAAGTTACATATGATGTTTTTGATATTATAGAGAGCACGGTGATAATATTTTGTAGTGAAATCTTTATGTACATTCATAAATATTTTAGGATAAGTGTCCAGAAATGACATTTCTCAGTCAAATAATATATGTCTTTTGTTAAATTTCTCTGCCAAAATATTCCAGCTACACTCCTGCCATTGATGGATGAAAACCTCCATTCAGCAGACTGTTGTCAATGACTGGGGTAATTTAAAAATGTTTTTGGTTATTGGGTAGGCAAAACAACAACAATAATAGCTATATTATTTTCCTCTTTAGTCTGCATTTATCTGAAGACCAGTGAGGTTGAGTTCTTTTTCCCTTTCTTCACATTAGAATGTCTTTTTTATTCATTATCATGCCCCTTGCTCTTGGTGATACGTGGGGAAATTTCCCAGGATGAGAATCAAGAAGTCATCTTTACTGGCCCCAATTCTGTCACTTGACAGCTGTCATCCTGGAGCCTGAGTGCCTCAGTTTCCTCATGTACATAGTGGGGGCAGTGATGCCTGCCTCCTGCTACATTGAGATCTGGGGCTGTTGCTTATAATATACTTGTGTATAAGCACCACGTGGCATGGATCTTCCTGGCTATGTGATGTACGTCAGGTTCTCCAGCCTCTCTGGGCTTGTTTTCTCATCTATAACATGGAGATAATAGAACCTATGTAATGGGACTGATCTGAGGCTTAGATGAGTTAATACACAAAGAGTACTTAAAACAGTGCCTGGCGCACTGGGAGGACTCAGTAACTATTGCACATGTTCATCTATGTTCGATCTTTGAGCCCTTTCAGCCCTTGCCTGGGATGGGTTGATAGTCAAATCTTGGTATGTGAGGGCTGCAAGACCCATGTAGAAATACTCCCCTCACTTAGACCTGGCAGATTGGGACCCAGAATGTGAAAGGAATTCACCCAAAATCACCTCGTAAATGCATAGCAGAGAGAAGATTAGAGCACAGTTTTCCTGATGTTGTCCCACAAAGATTTCACCCCTGAGCTATTGCGGGAAATGTCACCTCCTAGGGAAGATCAGTGTATTGTTTGTTGCCTTTTCTTGGTGCTGGGAGTCCCAAAGGCTCCAGAATGGGAAGGGGAGTGAAGCCCTTCTCACTCTGCTTGGTCTCAGGAGACTTTAATGAGTCCTAGCCCCACTACCTGAAGGCTCTGATAGCCTCCTACCCATTCCAATATATTCAGTTTGTAAATATCAAGTCATTTTCAGGCTTAAACCTCCAAGTCCTTGGTGCTGCACCAGAAGACAGCTGGCTTAGATCCACTGAACTTCAGGGGTTCTTCTTTTCCCCTACCCAGGTGCTCCCAAGATCCCACGGCAGGGCAGTTTCTCTCTGAGCTCTTTACCAACCGAAAAGAGGATATTCCTCTCAAGTTTTCTGAAGACTGTCTTTACCTCAATATTTACACTCCTGCTGACTTGGCCAAGGAAAGCAGGCTGCCGGTAAGCCGTGGGATCCCCTGGTTGAGGCGTGTCAGTTCCAGTTCCCCGGATCTTCTGGGCCACACCAGAAGGGGGTGAAGGCAGCTTGGGGAGGGGGCTGCAAAGGCCAGGATTGTTTCAGGGACCCCAGGGCCTCCACGGGAAACACAGGTTTTCCACACCTCAGTTTCCCCTTGTGACACAGGGCCTCTGGGGGAATCTGCTGTACATCTTTAATGCACATCTTAATTGTTCCAAGTTCCCTTATGCTAATGAAGGATGAGAATGATTACTTTTAGTTACTAGATTAAAAATCTGATACCCAGAGTGGGCAAGACATGATTTTCAATAATGTTAGAGGTGGAAGAGACTTAGAGAAAAGCCAACACCCCAACTCTTCCATTTCAGATAGAGAAACTGAGGCCCAGACAGGAAAGGAGAGGTCGCCAGTAGGGTAGTTTTTGCTCAAGTCTTCTGATCTTCAAACCAGTGCTTTTGACTTGGAGTGGGGCATTGAGCTCGTATGTGGCCTTTCTGCAGCACACCCACATCCATCTGGGGTAACTTTCACTGTCTGGGTATGGGTGTTGGGGGAAGAGCCTGGAAAATCCCTGGAGCACTTCCTTTTGCCTTTGGCCAAATATCTGGGATTTTCTTGTACCTAATTTCCTCCCTAATTGTCTTGGCAAAGACTGATAACCCAATGTGTTAGCATTTCCCGAATAAACAAAGGGCAAGAGATAGGGCAGGCTGCCAGCTGCAAGTTGGAGGGTAGGGAGGTCTGCTGGCAAAGAAGGCCACCCCAGGGTGGAATAAAGGGTGTCGCATCCAGCGGCATCATGGCGTGGTGCCCAGGAGTGAGAGAGCAGGTCTGCGAACGTGGGACTAGAAGTTGTCCCTACAAGTGCTTCGTAAGACACAGGAAGTGGGAGAAAGGGTTACTCACTCACTCATTCATTCATCTATTGTGTACTTGGTGCGCCATATACACAGTTAGACTCGGGGCTTTAGGGGAAAGAGGAACATCAACCCACTCCACGCAGCCCCTGCCTTCAAGGATCTTGCCATCTGGGCTGTAGAGTCATATTCTCCCTTCAGCAGGTTATTGCAGGCCAGCCCTCGGGTCAGCCTTCACACAAAGATGGATGCATGCTCAGTCCCTCCCCAGGAGGCAGCAGGCATTAGAGGTGTGGGAGAAACAGGGCTCTGGGAACCTGGAGGTGGGAGAACCTCCAGGAATGGCCACAGGTTCTAGAACTACACATGCTTAGAACAGCACCTGGTACATAGTTATGAGTTCTTTTATATTTTATTAATAATATTACTACAATATTATTATTTTAGCCACTCTTCTTCCTTGATATGTGGACTTTTAAAATGAGAGAACCTTGTGTTAGAAATTGTATCCACTCTCATCCTCGGGTATTCACTTAGTTCCTGATGCATAGTAAGATCTCAGATAGTGCTAGTCAAATGATTGAAGGCATCCTGGAGGGCGTGCGTTTTAGGGTGGGATTTTCAGGGTAGATAGAATTTGGGGATGCAGAGGCATAAAGGAGGTATTTGAGGAAGAGACACCATCACAGGCATGTGTGCTTCTCAAGACAATCATTCATGCACAGAAAAGTTTAATTCACCATGAGTGAGTTAACTGAGATGAAGCTGAGTTATGAGGGCTGCCCCATGGGTACGCTGAGCTGCATGAACAGTCCAGGCTTGAGGGTGATAGAAGTGAGGGGGAGAATACAACATCCTTAGCCTTTGCTGTGCCCGTGATGGTGTTCTCCGTGTGAAGAGCCTTTGGAGGAGGTGGCACTGGAGGCTGGGTAAAAGGAAGGGGCAGCCAGGGTGTGTACAGTGGGGTGGTGGTTTGAGCCCCAGTTTGGAGAATTATAGAGGAGAGAGACTGCCTTTTGCAAACTTGCTGGGCGCTGGCGAACTTTGGGTAACATCCTCTTTCAGTTGTGACCTAAACAAGGCACCCTCTGGGTGCTCCCTGGCTCTGCGCCCTGTAACTGGTCTGTTGCTTCCCCCCTGCCCAGGTGATGGTGTGGATCCACGGAGGGGGGCTGTTGCTGGATGGGGCATCAACCTATGATGGGCTGCCCCTTGCTGCCTATGAAAACGTGGTGGTGGTGACGATTCAGTACCGTCTTGGCATCTGGGGATTCTTCAGGTAAGAAATTGGACTCTCCTCCCTGCACTTTGGCCCCCACCATGAGGAAGCTAGGACCCAGCTCTGGTCATGTCAGCCCTCAGGGGACCTTAGCTGGGTTCCTCAGCAAAGCATCAAAGCACCTTCATAAGTGGATACTACCTACTCTCTCATTCCACAGCCACACTCATCCACTTGCCTCTGAGCTTTTGCATGTGCTGTTCCCTCTGCCTGGAATGCCTATTCTACCTGATGAACTCCTCTTCATCCTGCAAGACCCAGCCCCCA